TTAACTTAAACTCGACACACTCAAGTGGTAAGGAGTCAAGTAGTAGGGCCGTTCTTAGGAAGAGTTATCTCTGGGTGCATCGGACCTGCTCTGGACTCTCCCAGAAGATTTACTTACTTAATTGAAATACGGAGGCTTGAACCCAAGGCCTCTGCACCAACCTACATCCCCAGTCCCTTTTTACTTATTTTTAAATTTTGTGATAGGGTCTCTCTAAGTCACTAACTTGCCGAGGCTGGGCTCGAATTTGTGATCCTACTGTCTCAGCCTCCCAGAGTGCTGGCTGGGATTATAAGTGAGTCTCCCAAAACTTTAAGGAATAAATAAACTTGCCATTGGGGCCCTGTCTGGCTTGACCCCCTCTGAGAAGTCCCTGCCTCCATCAGGTCAGAGCCTGTCTGTCCAATAGGTCCTCTAGGGCCTTACCCTGCCCCCTCGTGGTTTTGAGCATGCTGTCTTGTATGGTTGATCATGTGTTGGGTTCTTCTGCAAGTCCAGGTCTGGAAAAAAAGATCCTAGTAATGTGCCTGTTTTACAGATGAGAAAACTGAGGTCTGGAGAGATTCTGAGCTTAGACTTCCCAAAAGTGCCACGGGGCACTGTGACTACAGGGGTCAGGTTGAGCTGGTGTGACTCCTGACAGCAGAGCGACTTGGGATAAGTCATTCCCAATCTTTGTACATCAGTCTCTTCACCAGCAATGTGGAACTGTGAATAGTAACTACCTTGCAAGAGTATCGTAAAGATTAAACCATGTAAAGCAATTAGCAGAGGTTTGTCGTGTAGTAAGGGTTTGTCATGCAGTAACATGATCCTCATGATCTCCTTCTCCTCCTCCTTTTCTTTCTCCTCCTCCTCCTTCTCCATTTGGTTACTATTATTTTTTTGTGTGGTCCTGAGCTACATTCCCATCCCTTTTTAATTTTTTAAAAAATATTTTGAGATAAGGTCTTGCTAAGCTGCTGAGTTGCCCAGTCTGGGCTTGAACTTGTGATCCTCTTGCCTCAGCCTCCCAGAGTGCTAGGATTGCATGCACGTGACACTAAACCTGGCTTCTTATGGTCATTTCTATATTACCACATTGTCTATACCTGTGACATCCATCTGACCCAAATTAATATGAGCTTCTTTACCATTCATTTTTGATGCTCAGAAGCCCACCAATGTGCAAGAAAATAAAAAGCCTGCCTTATTCTCTTTGATCTCACACCATACGGGTGCAGTCGTTGCTGCCTGCTGTAAGCTATGAAATAGACTCAGCTTCTCAAAGTGCAGCACTAGCCCACCTAGATCATCCATAATCATAAGTGTGTTTTTTTTCAAAGCTTTAGATTTTGGAATCAGAATCTCTTGGGGTGAAATTTGGTACCTGCATGTTGAGCCAGCTCCTTAGGAAAGTTGATACTCCAGAACTTGAGAACCACCAATCTAGAATTTGAATGCCTATTCTTTTTTGTTCTTTGTTCGTGATTCTTCGTCCTTTGCTGTGCACTGAGGTTTATATTTCCTTTCTAAGCAAATGTCCATGTGCTTCTGTGAAGCCACATTTTCTGTGTCAGCAATTAAGGCCAGGAAGCTGGGCAGAGAAGAAGTGAAATTTGTCTTATTTGTACTTTTACCATGGAAAGTCAGGCCATGGTAGAAATTGCCCCATGGTGAGGGCTTAGAAACTATTGTAAGCCACATAATTCTCTTGTTAAATAAAGTAGACAACGAAATGCACTTTGAAACAGATAAAAATGGTGTTATGCTCAGTGAAACAGAAGCAGGAGCTCCAGGCTGCAGCTCCCTGCACCTTCCAGTGATTATTCAAGAGTCTCTAGGAAACTTTAGAGCTCTGTGGGGTGGGCTGAAATAGCAAGTCTACCCCAAGGAGTTAAGAGATCAGATTTTTACACCTTTGTTGGACTTGGATGATCTGGCCATAGTTGTAGCATCTGTAAACGAGGAGGTTGTATGCTGTATTAGTCAGAGTGAGCTGCCAGACAAATAGGCCCGTGTACATGTAGTGGCTCACACATGACAGATGTTTGTTATACGGCAGGTATTCTTTTTTCCCCCTGTCTCTTTTCTTTTTCTGAGATGGAGTTTTGTTATGTTGCCCCGGCTGACCTTTAACTCCCAGGTTCAGATGATCTTCCCGCCTCAGCTAACAGATATGCAGCACCTCACCCTGTTTAAGGCAGGTATTTCTGGATGGAGGGCAGTCCTCTTCCTTGCAGTAATTCCGTGACTCAGTGGTAGCCCCATTGCCAAGTGGCAGATGAAAGAAAGTGTAGCGATGCCACTTTGTACCGTAACTGCCCTGGGTGAGAAGTCACAGGCCTCCCCTCTGCTCAAGTGAGAACTGGTCCTGAGGCCAGCCCAGTGCAGCGGAAAGGAAGTTGGGATGTCGAGCTCTTGGCGAGGAAGGCTGCGTCCATGTTCTTGGAGAGTGGATATCTGTGGACAGTGAGCTCTCTCCACCACAAATACAGTGACCTCATGGCTCTCTTCCATTCTTTATCCCCACATTTTAATAGCCAGTCTTACGGGTAGCAGGGTGAGGCTGGACCTTCCAGAGGCATCCATCCTGAAGGTACCCCGCTTCCACAGTACTGAGTAAAACCCCCACTCACACTCCCAAACACAGATCTTCCTGGAATGTGGGCGACAGCCATTTTCTTTCCCTTCTGGAAAAAGAAAATAAGAATAATAATTTTACTGAATGCACGACATCGGTGGGGCGGAAGGTTTTCTTATCCATCATCTCGCTGGATCCTCCTATGACGTGTGGAAAGCCTTCAAGACTTTCACCAGCACTCTGAAAATGAGGTGAACAAGGGTCAGAGAGGTAAAGGGACTTGCTCAAGGTCACACAGCTCATAAGCAAAAGAACTGTGACAGAAGCTCAGAAAATCCTATTCCTGTCCTAGGGTCCCAGAGCCCATTGTAATGCTCGTAAGTGTGTGTGTGTGTGTGTGTGTGTGTGTGAGTGTGAGTGTGCACATGAGTGTGGTTAGGGTAGAGCTTTTCTTCAGGCTGGACTTCCCCAGAGCTGGGCACAATAAGGGAAGTAGAGGCTCCAGGCCATGCCCAAGTCCCCATGGTGGGCCAAGGCTGCAGATTATAAGGCAGCTGGGTGGTTGTCCTGGCTCGGGAAAGCCCGGTGTGACTTAAGTGTCACAGTCACTGGCCATAAAAAGGGGAAGGGGGGCTGGGGGATTAGCTCAGTGGCACAGCACCTGCCTGGTAAGCGAAAGGTCGTGAGTTCGATTCCCGGTACCAGAAAAAAAAAACCCAAAACGCCCCCAGCAAAAAAAAAAAAAAAAAAAAGGGAAGGGATGTTGTGTGAGTCTTAAGTTCCTGGATGACCTGAGGTGGTGGTTGGGATGGGCACATAGTGGGCACTTGGTAAAATTTCCTGTGTGGACAAACCTATGGTGGAGTGAAAGTGGAGGCCACATGAAAAACAGAGTTGAGTCAGGCCCTCTTCCTGTCCTTGGGACTTGCATGAAAGGGGAAGGGGAGAAAAACCTATAACCTATGCATTTGGTCATTCACTCAACAAACACTTAACTTATTAGCACCTACTATGTGTCAGGCATTCCACAGGGCAAAAATGGTAGGGAAAGGCAAGATTCTTACCCCACGGACC